AAAAAACCACCCCCCCCCCCCCACCCCCCTTTTTCTCTCTGTGTATATCGTTATCAGAACCCTATAGTCAATTGCGCCCATGTCCTTTGTGTCTCTCTCTCCCCTCATCAAATAAATGCTTTTGATCTTCATCAAACAGACTCATCCTTTGGAAAAGGAGGAATAAGCACATATAAGTATGATTTGTTACTGAAAATCTGTCAAAGTACTAAGGTACACTCTTTGTATTATTGCTATTATATACACAATTATACATCAATTCATATTTATTCACGCAAACGCCCACTATATTTCCGCATGGATGAAGACTGGGATTTGTGGACGGTGGTGAGAAGTTACAGAAATCTCACCGCCGACAAGGCCTCCATCACCAACGAAAACACCACCAGAGCAGACCGTATACCTTGTTTGCCTCTTGAAAAAAGTGAACACCTCTTCAGTTTTCCCCATACGTTCGAGGAAAGAAACCATGGTTATGAAGGATTGCAGGAAATCTATGAAAGTTTCTTAGCGTATAACTCCAAACCAGTCAACACTAATGCAAATACCACTTCATTCACCGTTATTGATGTTTCCAGTGATGAACAAGGGGCAGAACCCCAGCCGCAGCCACCACAGCCAAAGCAACCACGATCACCGCCAAAATTACCCCCACCCATCAACCGGAACACGACCACCACTCCCCCCATTTACATTCTGGACGATTTCGATGACGAACAATGGCTACAACCGCAATCACAATCACAATCACCAAAACCACTGTCACGAATACTAGCACCACCACCACAACCACCATACTCACCACCAACACAACTACTAAAACAGGTGTACAAATTACATTCACCACCAAAACCCATAAAATTTCACCCATACCCTTATCAGAGGAAGAAGAATCTACAAGTGACAGTATATGAACTATATGCTGAAGAACTCTCTCGTTTTGATCTCTGGGCTTGGCGAAAGTACGGGAAGAAGCAAATCCGAGGGTCACTATACCCCAGAAACTACTATAAATGTAGCAATGGAGAGGGAAAGTGTCAAGCAAAGAGGCATATTCAACAAAGCCTATCCAGTCCGGACAAGCTCATTGTATCATACGATGGGGAACATATCCACTCTCCTCCCCACTCTCGTAACCCTCTGATCGGCAGTAGCATAATGAACTCATCTGCCAGCAAGAAAAGGTCATCATCATCTCCTCTCCCTCCTCCTATAACCTCTTTGCTACCTACACTGGGAGGCTATGGTGATATGAAAATAGTTATAACAGAAGACCCCAAAGAGGAAATGATGGAAGGCAAGGATGCAACACATCATGATACGGGAAAATCCATCAAAGAAGAACCTGAAGAGGAAATGATGGAAGAAGTTATATATGCGGATCTTGAGATTTCTAAGAAAGGTTTTGAAGGAATCAGCAAATTGCATGGAGATGCCTTTGCCCCGCCAATGCTTGGCCTTTAAGGCTTCAATGAAGAGGTTTGTGCGCAAAACTTAGACTTTCCATGGTTTTCTACCTCCTCCACTACCGCTAGCAACATGCCTGGTTGCAGCTATGTTGAGTTACTGGAAACTTGAGATACCTTGATTTGTAAGCTTCGTTTTCTTTCTCTTTTCTTTTCTTTTTTTTTTTTGGGCTTATGGAAATTATCTTTGATTTATTTCTGGGTAACAACATATTCTCTATATTTTCCATTAATATTTTTTTTCATTTTTTTAAGTTATCAATCATTCCCCTTTGTTTTTTTTGTTTTTGAATTTTTCTATTTTATCATTCCTAGGTTTTATAACGCTTTATTATTATTGTTTTCGAACATGTTTTTTCCATATGGATAACACGATTATGAAATGTATGCTTTTGAGGCTTTATGAGTTCAAGTCTTGCATGCATGGTAATCCAACGGTGTTCAAGTATGATATACCCGGAGGGATGGTGTTTGTTACTATTTACACCAACGAACAATGTTATATGGACTTAAAAAGTAGACTTAAAAATTAGACTTGATAATCTCTGATGGGTCAAGTCCAAATAACCCAATTTATGTGGAAACTCCAAATCCCAATTGAGGAGCCCAACCTCATTTAAAGATCCACCAAGCCCAACATAGCCCAAGACTAGTCAGACTCTTTGCTTAGTCATATCATCAAGAGGGAGAGCATGAGAAGCCTTACCTGCACCACCGAAGGAAACGTTCCACCCTCACCGTATCTTTGACCGTATCCCTTGGAGAGCACCGCAACTGCCTAGCCCGTTGAGAAGAAGTCATGAGCTCCACCGGAATAGTTATGTAGTTGCTAACACCTCGCCCAAAACTGTTAGGAGGGCAACTATAAATTGTGAGCTCCACCAACACTTAGGGGGCAGGATGAGCACCACATTATTTATCTGGGCATCACACTTTCCCTAGGCACGACTCTCTCCTCTCCCTCAAAGGTTGTATTCTCTGCTCTCAACACCCTTAAGTTAATAAAATATCCGGCAACTAAAGTCATTCAAGAGTGTACGTAGGTCGAGTTGACCGAACCACTATAAATCTTGTCTCCTCCAATTCTCTCTTTACTTTTACTGCATTTATTATTTACACTTGACAAGTAGTGTGCAAAACCATTTTGTGCATCATCAGTTTGGCGCCGTCTGTGGAAAACGAGACAAAATTCTCACTCCTGAACATTCCATCTACTAAACCAACGGCGATCACTACGCGATCTATGAACCAACACGAAGACAATCCACCACGAGAGGAGGAGGTTGCTCCTCCACCTGCCAACCCTATCCTGAATGCTCCGGCTCTAAATTCCCAGCAAATGTTTGAGACCATGCAGTAGCTAGTGGCCTAAAACTGGCAGATACTGCAACTTATGCTCGTCGGACAAGGAGGAGCGCAACTTGGAGGTGCACAACATGGAGTGCCTCAAGAAGCTCCACGCCGTGGACATCAAGGAACTCCACGCTCTGGACATCAAGGAGCTCCACGCCTTGGACATCAAGGAGCTCCACACCTTGCTGCTCCCCATTTGGGCATCCATGCAGGTCCGGACGCCCCACACAGGGGAGCCCATCATGATCCACCGCCTCCTCCTCCTACTTCCCATGGTGAAGACCCTCATCTCCAAGAGGATGAGGGTGAGAACCAAAGCATGGAGTATGAGAGTCATCTCCATGATCATTCCAGAAGAGCCCTCAATCACTCGAACGAGAAAATTAAGGAAGTGCAAAATCAACTGGGTGATGTCTTCAACACCATGAAAGCGCAAGGACCCGAGACAGTGGACTACCTGTTAAGGTGGATAGACACACCTTTCAAACCTCATGTGGCGAACTACCCCCTTCCCCAAAAGTTCAAAATGCCATCCGTGGAGACCTTTGACGGAACAAAGGATCCACTAGACCACCTCGACAACTACAAAACTTTGATGCAGCTGCACAATGTCCTAGACGAAATTATGTGTAGGGCATTCCCAACTACCTTGAAAGGATCAGCGCAACAATGGTTCGCCAAACTCACCTCGGTCTCCATAGGCTCCTTCGCCGAACTGAGCAGATCATTTGTGGCACAGTTCATTGGTGGACTTCGCCAACAAAAGCCTGTCACCCATCTGCTCAATATAAAACAAGATCAAGACGAGAGTCTAAGGAGTTACCTCACTCATTTTAACGAGGAGGTCCTCCAAATCGAGGAGCTCAATGACAAACTCACCATGACCGCCTTTCTGGGAGGCCTTCGCTCATCCAGATTCCTTTTTTCAATAATGAAGCAACCACCAAAGAGTATGTCAGAACTATTGGTAAAAGCTCAAAAATATATGAACGCTGAGGAAATCAACAGGTCCAAGCGAGGTGAATCATCTCGTGGATCTCCAAAAGCTTGACCTGCCTCTACACTGTTCCCAAACAGGCAGCCTCAATATCCAGCTTATCGACTCCCTCATGGGTCACCAAAAGCTTGGCTTGCCTTTGCACTATTCTCAAACATGCAGCCTCAATATCCATCTTAGCGACTCCCCTCACGGGTCGCCAAAAGCTTGGCCTGCCTCTGTACTATTCTCAAACAGACAGCCTCAATATCTAGCTTAGCGACTCTCTCGTGAGTCGCCAAAAGTTTGGCCTCTGCACTGTTTTCAAACAGACAGCCTCAATATCCAACTTAGTGACTCTCTCGCGGGTTGTCAAAAGTTTGGCCTCTGCACTGTTCTTAAACAGACAGCCTATATCTCCAACTGAGCGGCTATTTCACGGGTCTCCAAAAGCTTGACCTCTGCGCTATTCTCAAGCAGACAACCTATACCTCAAGCTTAGAGACTCTCTCATGGGTCACCAAGAGCTAGGTCTCAAAAGGTGTAACTCTCTCACGAGTAGTTCTCCAACTCTGTCTTTGCTTTTGCGTAAGCAGCTTCCCTCTCTCTACAAGTAATTATGTGAGATATTTTAATAATTAGAATAACATTGTTTTTGTCTTCACAAGCAGGCTCTCCCAAGGCAGTCCCAAGCTCGTCTAAGGCACCCTACACCTCCTAGGAGCCCAAAATCTCTCAAGCGCCTAAAGGAGGCAACCTAGCACCTGAAGAGGTGTATGCTCGCCCAAATGGAGCAGCCCAGCACCTAGAGAGGTGCTTGACCCCCTCTACTCATCCAAATGAGGAAGCTCAGCACCTGGAGAGATGCTTGACCACCTCTGCTCACTCCAACGAGGCAGCCCAGCACCCGAAGAGGTGCCTGACTGCTTTTGCTCAACCAAACAGGGCAACCCAACACTTGGAGGGGTGCCTGACCGCCTTTGCTCGCCAAAACGGAGCATCCCAGTAGCTGGAGAGGTGCCTGGCCCTTCAAAGTTGCACATAACAGCACTTTTGGCACCTAAATCAGTGCCTACGATACCCGGATCATCGCCTGGAGCAGCGCTCAGATTAGCCCCTGCACCCAGGTTGTTGCCCTGCGCTTCCCGCTGCACCTTGGACTGATTTCTTGCACTTTCTGCTGAAAAAATATTGCTGCCCATCGCTCGTGAGCTGCCCAGGACAGAGGAATCTGCACTGCCCAGCGCGTCTGAGCTGTCCAGGACAGTAGAAACAGCACCCAGGTTGCGGCCCAACCTCCCTACTCGCCCACTGTGCACGGCTGTTGCGTGCCTGATGGTTTGGATAGCCCCATTTTTTGCCTGCACGTGGCTGTCCAACTCCCTGCTCTGCGCACCCAAGCTGCCCAGCTCCCTATTTTGCACTCCAAGGCTATCCAGCACTCAACCCAAGCTGTCCAGCTCATTGTGTTGCACGTTTAAGCTGTCCAGACCCCTTTTCTGCGCACCCAAGTTGTCCAGGACAGAATTTTCAACGCCTAAGCTATCCAGGACAGCTCCTTTTGCGCCTAAGCTATCCAGGACAGCCCTTCCAATGCCTGGGCAGCCCCCTGCACTCCAAGAAAATTCCTTAAATTCGCCCAAACCACCGCCTAAAGTGGCGCGTACCTCCACACTTCCTTCGATCTCCACCACTCCCACTTCAATCAATATTGCCCACTTGAAAACTTCACTCGAAATAGGTAGGACTTGAGTTCTCAAGGTTTTCAAGAGGTGGGTGCTCAATCTCAAAGTGAATGAAATGGGTAGGATGAAGGAGATGGTTATATTTATAGCTTAAGGTTTTTAAAGAGGGAAAAGCCCAAATTAAAGGTTATGGGCTCTTCTAAAAATCCTAGCAAAAGTGGAAAAACTTGAGGCATGCAAAACAAAATTGCATTGTGGAGGGAAAGAGTCATCTAGAAGAGGAAGTTTCCACCACTTATAACTCAAGGAGCAAATTAATGCACCATTCTCCAAGTTTTCTTGAATACGGGGCATTGGGGGATAAATGATAGGTCAAGCCCAAATGGCCCAATCTATGTGGAAAGTCCAAATCCCAATTGAGGAGCCCAACCTCATTTAAAGATCCATCAAGCCCAACATAGCCCAACACTAGTTAGACTCTTTGCTTAGCCACATCATCAAGAGGGAGAGCATGTGAAGCCTTACCTACACCACCGAAGGAAACGTTCCACCCTCACCGTATCTTTGACCACATCCCATGAAGAGCATCGCAACTGCCTAGCCCGTTGAGGAGAAGTCATGAGCTCCACCGGAATAGTTATGTAGTTGCTAACACCTTGCCCAAATCTGTTAAGAGGGCAACTATAAATTGTGAGCTCCACCAACACTTGGGGGGCAGGATGAGCACCACACTATTTACCTGGGCATCACACTTTCCCTAGGCACGACTCTCTCCTCTCCCTCAAAGCTTGTATTCTCTGCTCTCAACACCCTTAAGTTAATAAAATACCCGGCAACTAGAGCCATTCAAGAGTGGACGTAGATCGAGTTGACCGAACCACTATAAATCTTTTTTCCTCCAATTCTCTCTTTACTTTTACTGCATTTATCATTTACACTTGACAGATGGTGTGCAAAATTATTTTGTGCATCATCAATCTCAAC